AGCTGGACTTTACCAATAACTTAGATATATTTCTTTTCCCCTGCCCCATTTCTCTGCACTTTTCCTACAGATAACTTCTTTACTGTTTGTGTTTATCTTACCTTCTGAAAAAAAGAAAGCATAATAATATATATGAATATCTACACAATAAGTTTTTAGTTTTACTTGTTTTGGGCCCTATTTTAAAATGGAGTATTAACACTGTATATAGTTCTCTGGGATGTGTTTTGTTTTTTTTTTTAAAATTTTATTTATTTGAGAGAGAGAGAGAGTGAGCGGGGTGGGGTGCAGGGGCAAAGTTAGAGGGAGAAGCAGACTCCCCGCTGATTAGGGAGCCCGATGCAGGGCTTGATCCCAGTATCCTGAGATCATGACCTGAGCCAAAGGCACTTAGCTCGCTGAGCTACCCAGGCACACCTGGGAGTTGTTTTTTTCACTCAACATTATATTACTAAGAGTCACCTGTGTCTTTGCATATGGTTGTAGTACATTCCTTCTCATGCTCTATTATTTATTTATTTATTTATTTATTTATTTTTAAGATTTTATTTATTTATTAGAGAGCGAGAGAGAGAGAAACAGCATGAGAGGGAGAAGGGTCAGAGGGAGAAGCAGGCTCCCCGCTGAGCAGGGAGCCCGATGCGGGACTCGATCCCAGGACTCCAGGATCATGACCCGAGCCGAAGGCAGTCGCTTAACCAACTGAGCCACCCAGGCGCCCTCTATAATTTATTAATATCTATATTTTATTGTGCTGATGATCATTATTATTGGTTACAAAACAATAATAATAGCAACCACTGGTAGAGTATTCACTATGTCCTAGACATTTTTTTGTGTTTTATATATATTATCTCCCTTAAACCTTACAAGAACTGTGTGAGGTAGGTACTGTTTTATTCTCATTTAGCAGATGATGTAACTGAGCAAGATGGGTTAAGTAACTTGCCCAAGGTATCACAGATATCTAGTAGTTGGGGCCAGGATTCAAATCTAGACTGTCTTTAGTCGGTTCTTATGCAGTGTGTTGTTTTGGATTCTGGAAATAAAGACAATATTTCTGTCCTCTCAGACCCTTAAATATAAAAAATGATACTTGTTTAAAGACCCAGTATATTCTACTGTTTTATTTTTAAGGTTTTAATGTTGAGAAAAAATTTGTAATCTTTGCTTTTTTTGATTTTAATTTGAGAGATAAAATTATGTTTGGAATGTACTTCAAACTCTAGCAAGCTAAACTATGGGATTCTGTGAATGCACTTACTGGAAAGGCCATCTTTATTTAGTACACTAGCTCATAGTGCTCACATGTGGATATTAGCACCATCTACTGGCAACGGGAAACAATAGCTTGGTGTGTATAGTATTGTTTGGAAGACAGTGTATATACCTTCATAGTTTTTTTCTTTTTGAAAACTGTTCCTGGCGAAATTAATATTTTGTAATTTTTCTGTGTAGTGGGTTTTGTGCCCCAGTTTGGTTTCCTTAAACTTCCAAGTATCAACTATTAAATATTGTACATTTGCATAATTGAGACTATTGCTTTGAGGAAAAATACAAGGGTATAGTTTTACAGGTCTGTCATCCTCCAGCAGTCTTTTTAAAGCATACATAAAATACATAAACTTATTAATTTGTTAGACTAATAAGCGCAAAGCTGTCATATTGGGTCAGTATGAACTGTATTTAATTTGTCATTCTGTTTTGGCTTAGTTAAATAATACTGTCTTTCGTAGTCAGAGGAGTAGAATTAATAATAGAGTGAAAACAAGGGTTCTCTGACTAACTGTGGGAAGCTTCTCTCTGCTCAGCTCTTGGTATTAACCTAAATTCTACTTTCATCTTTCCTACTTAAACTGGTTTAGCTTTCATTTGTCAGTGGCCTGGTATCTTGTTTGTATCCTATTTTAGACTAACTTCTATTATTTTGAACTATTCTTTGCTATTTTTTCTCTTAACTTATGTGACTTAAAAATGTATGAGAAATCATTTGCCTTCTCATTCTATTTATTGGCTGATATATTCCGTTTCTTCTTCTTTTCCAATATGTTTTCTTTTTTTTTTTTTTTAAGATTTTATTTATTTATTTGACAGAGAGAGACACAGCGAGAGAGGGAACACAAGCAGGGGGAGTGGGAGAGGGAGAAGCAGGCTTCCCGCGGAGCAGGGAGCACGACCTGGGCTCGATCCCAGGACCCCAGGATCATGAACCCAGCCGAAGGCAGACGCTTAACGACTGAGCCACCCAGGCGTGCCTCCAATATGTTTTCTTAAAGACACTTTACAAGTTAAAGTTGCCCTAGATGTGACGTTAGTAAGCGGTGAAATATAATCTTTATAAAAGGAGTGACATGGTGATTGCTTAATGAGTGTTGGTTGAGTGGTTCATTAAGGGAATTTTAAAAAGCTTGCTTACGTTACAGAGCAAGAATGTCTGTTTAGGGAGCCATTGGTCTGATATGTTTACTTGTGAATCTACTGAGAACAATAAACAATTGTGTTTTTTTTGCCCTGTGGCTATTTAACACTTGAAATGAGAGCTGCTTTCTGTTTAAAATGTTAGCTTATTGTAGGTATACTTTAGCAGTATCTGATTAAATAAAATAAAGACTTGTTTATTTAAAAATAGCAATAAACAAATTTAAGACCGTATGCCGTAATGTAAGATAGTTGAATTTAAAAAGTCCAAGTTGCTGGGGCGCCTGGGTGGCTCAATCGGTTAAGCATCTGTCTTCGGCTCAGGTCATGATCCCAGGGTCCTGAGATCGAGTCCCAGATCGGGCTCCCTGCTCCGTGGGAAGCCTGCTTCTTCCTCTTCCACTCCCCCTGCTTGTGTTCCCTCTCTCGCTCTCTCTGTCAAATACATAAATAAAATCTTAAAAAATAAAAAGTCCCAAGTTGCTAATAGTTTAGGTTTTTAATTAATGGTAAAGATAGTCTTGGCATAGAGAATGAAAATGGGGTCATAATACTGTATTCTTTTAGTTTTTGTTGTTTCTTTGAGTATTTTACTTTTTTTTTTTTTAAAGATTTTATTTATTTATTTGACAGAGAAAGACACAGCGAGAGAGGGAACACAAGCAGGGGAAGTGGGAGAGGGAGAAGCAGGCTTCCCACGGAGCAGGGAGCCCGATGCGGGGCTCGAACCCAGGACCCTGGGCTCGTGACTGTAGCTGAAGGCAGACGCTTAATGACTGAGCCACCCAGGCGCCCTGAGTATTTTACTTTTGAGCATTCATTACTGCTAAAGGGAAACCTAATTCCCCTTTCTTAATCTGATCTGTGGTGGATACCGAAGTATTTTTATTATATTTAAAAATATTTTTTAAAATTGCTTATTTTAAATGTAACTTCCCCCCCAATCCTTAATCGACTTCCTTATTCTATATTTAAAGAGAGAGGTGTATAGAGGCTCTCAAAATACATGAACATACACAATTTTTAAATGATATGAGTTGTTTTCAAAATGCTTTTTATTACTCTCAGATAATTTATTCCTTTCTCTCAAACTCTTTAATTATCAACTGATTCTTTGATTTGACATATTTATCTCTTCATTAACTGCTAATAATTATTTAATTCAGAGCTACTTTTCATCACGCTGAGTTTTAGGTGAGGGGATAACAAAGTGAATGATTACTGCCATCTAAGGACTATTATAATTTATTATGAGCTTTGCACTCTTTATGTTATAGAGAAAAATATGTAAAGAGATCTGTTGAGGCATAAGAATTGATTGTTTTAGTTGTACAGAGCCATCAGAATTTAGTCTGAATTGAGAATATTAAAGTGAAATCCCAAAGTGAGACGTACATGGTAGTATTTGAGTGGGATGTTGAAGAATAGGACGGAATTGGTGAGTGGAGATGAAGAAAGGGTGCTTCAGCCTGAACAAACCATTGCATCTTGCATTGGATCTCTGAAGTAGTATCTTAAATAAATTTCATATTGCATACATTTGGGAATTCTGACTTTATGAATCATGAATTGCAGTTCTTTTGGAAGACCATATACTTCTTTCATGTGGTGTATTCTGTATCACTCCATTAGAAAGAAGATTATGTTCTGTTTAAGCATGAAATTGTCTGCCAGAGTATTTTAGAAATGGGAGGGAGAAAAACTAGTGTGTTTTCCAGTTAATGCTATTGGTAAACTGTTTGAACAGATGCTTAGAAAAAATTAAGCTTCAGAAAATAATTTACCTGAGGAGGAGTGAGTTATTCTTAAACTAGTATCACAATTTAATTAGAGAACAATTTTCATATTCTTTTACCTGTATGTAAAAATATTTTTCCTCAACACAAATCTGTCTCCTTGAGAGTTATGATCTTTTTTTGTATAGGTCCTAGTTTCTGTGCTGCACAAAAGGGCACAGGTAAAGATGTTAATAGGGTTGAAATGCAGCCCTTCTCAGCTACTGAGGACTCTTCTCTAATTCCTTTTCCCAGAGGACAAACACACTCCAGTTAGAGAAGTCCCTATCCTAGAAGTGATTATACATTTGCCTTATTTAGTTAGTGGATTCAGCACTTACCTTCTAGAAGAGTATAGGCACAAATTAGGAACTCAGTAAACACTTTTTGCATATATAGAGTATTCAGAAGTCCAAACAAGATGAAATTCTCCTTTGATCATGTCTTTTGAGCAGGTTATTATATATGCCTCCTGTGATTTAGAAAAATTGACTACCCAATCTCTGGTCTTCTTGAAGTCAAATTCTTGGTTTATATGGATAATTCAGTTTGTTGTGCTTTGCCAAATTGTTATTGCCAATATGCTGGGTTTTAATTTTTATTGCTGTTCTTGTTATTTAATTGTTTAAAAATCTAAGCTAACTCAACTAAATTGAGTGTATATTAAATATTCATTAAATAATTTATAATTATATCTTTATTAACATGCATTATACTTAATATATTTAACATTTTATAAAATATTAAGATATTTTTATTATAAATATTTATACTTTATATGTTAAAATATTTACATTTTAATTTCAGGTATATTATATTTTTTTGCCCATGTGACCTAGTTTCCCAGGGCTATTCTTTCCTACCTGTTCAACTCTTGGCTGCGGGAATGAAAGAAGTGACCAGAACTTGGAAAATAGTAGGTGGAGTCACACATGCTAATAGCTATTACAAAAATAGCTGGATAGTCATGATAGCTATTGGATGGGCTCGAGGTAATATTAACATTATGTGTTTATAAATATTCTGTTATTGATATACTACTGCTACTGAATGATTGTCTAGTTACATTAATGAGGATTGCATACTTTGGTAACAGTATTTTTGGAAGAAGGAAGTCTTCTCTTGGCTAGTGAAGTTAATTCATAACTAGCACTTTCACTAGTACTCGTCATCAGCCAATATTTTGAGCCTGACTACCTTAGAGTATAAAATTCTTCTGATTGATTTGATTAGTAGCTCAGAACCAGAAGGATTCATAGTTAATTAAAGTATAGTGCCACCATAAATAAAACAAGTTGACTTAAGAAATTATGTAAAAAGATTATATTAAAAATTGCTCTTTTTTGTGTTTCACCCTAGATAACTAGAAGTAGTAAATATGATTGATTATGGGTTCATCTTTATTCTATATCACTTACCTTTATTGTTGAGTTCTTTTGTATGTAGAAATTGAACAAATTTCTCTAATCTCTTGTTGTATTGTACTGCATCTAAAACTAGTATCAGGGAATGAAATGATAAAACAGAAATTTTTATTTTTCAGGCCTGAAATAAGCCTTTAGGAACATCTCTGTGCTTGAGGCTCCTTAACCTTAATTATGGTACAATAGACAGTTGGCAACACTGATGAAAGGGAGGAATTACAATTGTCTCAGTACCATAAATGTACAAGAAAACTTTTCTCTTCCTCCTCAAAATTATATTTTGGGGATCTTCTTGGGTTGTTTCAAATATTTTCTCCATAAAATTTGGCTAAATATTCTTGTTTCATTTTATTTTTAGGTGCAGGTGGTACTGTTATCACGAATTTTGAGCAGTTGGTAAAAGGAGGTTGGAAACCAGAAGCTGATGAATGGCTGAGGATGTCCTAGTGAGTTGGTGTAAACTATACTGCGACCAGCTTTTTATTCTTAGGTCTTACCAGATTTCTAAATATGGATGCAATGGAGCTGAAAAAATAGTCATGATAATGGGAGGAGAATCAGGAGAGTTACTCTTTCAAAAAGTCTGTTCTCTCAAATGTAGTTTTTAATATATGATTCTTTTCTCTGTGGGTTTCTTCCCTTAGAAAATAAAACCAAACCAAAAGCTCCTGGATTGTTATAGAATTGTGGGAAGAGTGTGTATTTATGGAGAGAAAACTACATAGGAACACACTTCCCTGGATGTAAATGAATCAGTTGCAGGTTCTTGGCGTTTTCATTAATTACTACAACATTACTCAGATTTCAAATTTGCATAGTAGTAAAATGTTAAGCTTATGGGAACAAATCAGTCCTTTATAGGGTCTTGTTGCTTTAAAAATGAGAGTTGAGCTTAATTACACATAAAAATAAGAGAAGATTAGAGGAAATAAACCACTCTATAATTGTAGGGTGCAGACTACCTTTTGCATCCATTTAAGAGAATCTGATCATTAAATGTTATCTAAAGACACTTACTCATTCTTAAATAAGTTCACAGATGTATCTCTGATGCTCCTGAGAATGAAATAGAGAGATGTAGTTACTATTTCCACAGTTCAAGAAGGAAAAGACTTAAGGAATAGTGGCCATAGTAAGCAAGCTGAGGAAAGACTCCATGTGAAAATAAGCTCATTAGAATAGATTAAAAAGTTGAGAAGCGTCTATATGATGAAGTGTATGTTTGTGTGAAGCAACAAATTCTAGGATATTTAACTTGGAAAGTAACCCTTAAAGTGTGAATGAGGTAGTTTAGGAATAGAACAAACTAGGTTTTGATTGATAAGTTATAAATAAGGCATTAATGAGATTCAAGGGAAATTTTTCTCATTTTGAGCATATGCCTTGAAATGTCTTTCATAAAACATTTCTTGGGCTGTTATAACCAAACTCAAATTGTTTCTCCTTTGTTCAAAACCTTGGAATGACTCCCCAGATGGTCTGTAAAACCCTCCAAGATCTGCCTTAACTTCCACACCCTATTTGCTTTGACTTCATTTCTTACTATTCTCTCTTTTGCTTGTATCCTTGAACAAATCTACCACGTAGTAGACACTCAATAAATATTAAATGAATGAAAGAATTATCAGTTGGTCAGATGAGATTGATCACTGGTTCATTATGATATTTTGTGTATGTGTGTATATACAGAAATTTTCATCTATCTATTACCAAATACTTTTGCATAGTAGAGAAAGCCTATATGGTCTTAGAGAATACATATATTGTCATAAACACAATGTTGGTAGAACTATGAATGTTAGAGGTACTGGTGAGGGCTCAGAAGAAAATGAGGAGCATGATACTGGCAATTGGAGGAGATGTGATATAGTTATATAGTGGGAGAAAACTTAGTTGAGTTGTGTGCTACAGTTACGTGGAAAGCATAATTTGTGAGCAGTGAACTTGGGTATTAGCTGAGGAGATTTCAAAGCAGTGTTAAAGGTCTGGACTTGTTTCTCCTTGCTGCTTTTAGTAAAGTGAGAGAGGAAAAGTTGAATTGAGGGAATAACTGCTGAACAAAGAAACCAAAATGATGATTTGGAAAATTCTCAGCCTATCCAGATTGCAAAAGATGATTAAATTAGGACATTCATTTTTAGGAAAGTCTGTTGTTGGAGACTTTCTAAGTCTTACTCTAAAGGTAAGGATTAAAGGTAAAGGGTGCGGCTGGAAAACTTTTGCTAGTGTTAAAGAAATTAGGTGTGTGACTCATGGATCCATTCAGCCATCACAGCACAAACCAGGAATAGACATGAGACTATCCAGAAAAGATATGTGGAGGACCATCTTAACTAATGTCATGGATCCCTGTGTCGTATGCTGGAGACCCACAAGGTTTTTGAAAATGTTCTATTGGTAGAAACTGCCAGCTTGCACTAAAAGGGACAGAGATAAGGTGAAATAAAAGGAGGCTGTCAGACTCCCAGAAATCTATAGGCTGATAAAACTGCTCAGCTGCAAACATGTGTTACCCTTCGAAGAAAAGGAGAAATGGATTTTGGCCGGAAGCCATGGGCCTAGAGGTCTGAGGCCAGGCCCACGGGTTGGAGTCCAGGTGCAGAGGCCAGACCCATGAGTGCAGAAGCTGGAGCTGTGGACTCGGAGGATGGAGCCTAATGTCATGGAGGATTATTACTAAGCCTTGAAACCTTGAAACCTAATGGAATTTGCCCTGCTGGATTTAGAAATTGCATAGGACCAGTGACCTCTTTCTTCCTTTCCTTTTGTTTTCTCCGTTTTGGAATGGAAATGTCTCTATTACCATATACCTAGTCTACTATTGTATTTTGGATGCAGATAAACTCATTTTCTAAATTCATAGGAAACTAATATAAGAATATTTTCTAAATGCATCCTGATCTTCCAAACCAGTCTCATTGACTAAATCTCAGCCCTTCAATTCCCTGTCGCATTTTATTGTCTGCAGAATCCTTGCTTTTCAGATTCAGTGCCTCTGAATTTATGCTCTAAGGGAATGCAATCCCTTAGAGCATGTGCTAAGAGGAATCCATGATGAGGTACTGTGGTACAGAACCCAAACTGTTAGAAACCAAGAATAGCAAAATGAGATTAAGATAAACCTAATTACTGGGGCGCCTGTGTGGCTTAGTTGGTTAAGCGACTGCCTTCAGCTCAGGTCATGATCCCGGGGTTCCGGGATCGAGTCCTGCATTGGGCTCCCTACTTGGCGGGAAGCCTGCTTCTCCCTCTCCCACTCCCCCAGCTTGTGTTCCCTCTCTCGCTGTCTCTCTCTCTGTCAAATAAATAAATAAAATCATAAGGAAAAAAAAAAAGCTAAACGTAATTCCTTTTTCTTTTAATCTCATCCTTTAAAAATGTCAATTTGGTGTACATTTTATAATACATACATACAACATACAGTTGTATGTATATATAACTTATAAATTAATTGGTAAACACATATTAGTGTCTTAAAACATTTTTTTTTTTTTTTTGGTACCAATAAAGATGCACAGTTAAAAAGTTTTAGAGACCACTGTTCCAAAACATGAGTGCTGCCCAGTCAGCTGTTAGGCAAGGTCTAAACCCCTGGTGCCCAAACCTAATCCTGTTTTGAACTCAGTCCTCAGCTTATAATAAATAAATAGGTAATTTTTCATGAAATGAAATTTGTCATATTTTGCAGTGTGGCATTCTAAGAGTTTATCATTTATCTTTCTGTAGTTGTAAGCACAAAGCTAGATAATGATCTGTTACTAAGATATACTTTAAATATGTGGCAAATATATAATATGAAAGTAATGCTTCTTTTTGTAGATTAACATCTTACTGTAGATGTTAAAATTTCAGCCTTAATTTGTTAAGATACTAGCAAACACTTAACATTCTGTGCTGGGCTTAGCAAAATAATGTGCTGGATCTGGCTCCTGCTGTTACATGGGAGCTGATTGTGCGCATCTGTCTCTTCTCTGTTCTGCATAGCACCCCGAAATTTACTGTGATGGGAGTATTTACACCATGGAAATGGGAAAATACTATAAATCAGGGCTTTCTTTTCCTTTTCCCACCTGACTGAAGGAGCTTGTTTTGTCCTATAATGACTAATCTTTTTCCAAGTCATACTGTGGAACGTGGGACTTTCAAATCTTTGTGAAAAAGTATTATATGGTCAGATGTGTTTCAGAAATACTGTATATAGAAATGAACTTTATCAGAGAGTCACAATATATGTATGAACATTCTAAGATCTCTGGTATTTTATCAGAGTGAAATTATATGTTATATAACTTAGCACTTCTAAAACTTTATAAGTATGTTTACATTAACTTATTTTTGTCTATTAATAACTCATTAAATTAATATTTTCCAGAGTATTCTTTGAGAAATATAGAGATGGATCATGTTTATTACTTACTGACTTAAAATGTGTTTTATTTTCAGCCCTGCCAAGGTAACCCTACTGGGGTCGGTTATCTTCACTTTCCAGCACACGAAGCTTCTGGCAGTATCAAGGCATAACCTTATGTTCCTTTATACCATGTTTCTTGTGGCCACAAAGGTAAGAATTCAAAGTAGTAGTAAATCAGTATTATAAATTCTGTATGACCAGAATTCTGCATACTTGGCAGGTAACAGAAACATTTATTTTTTATTCTTATTACAGTCTAAAAAGGTAAATTTGGGTTGTTTATTCAGCGCATCCATGACTTTCTGAAACAGAACTCTTGTTTGATTCCACATTTGACTTATGCCGAGGCTATCAGGAAAGATTTACAGATACTCTAATAGTATATCGGACGCCAGAGAGTGGTGGAAATAGCTATAGCTGATCAGAGACTGCAGACAGCATTGTCTCATTTGTAAAATGAGGTACTTGTGGTAGGTGTTCTTTGAGGTTCCTTTAAGCTTTAACATTACAAAATTTTTCTAGTGGGTCATATTTGTGCTTAGTCTCTTGTATTATAATTGCCTTGTTGGAAGCTTTATTGTATCTTGAAGATAGGAGATAGTGTGGTGTAAGATCACAGGTTTTGTCGACAGGCAGTCTTAGGTTCAAATCCTAGCTTTGCTATTTAATTCCTGAATAGGCAAGTCACTTCATGTCTCTGAATCCTGATTTCCTCGTCTTCATTGTATGGTTGTTGAAAGGATTGGGGATGGTGCATATCCTTCTATCACTGTGACACATCTTACGAATTTTATCTGGATCATGAGGCTAATGCTGATTATTGTTATTCTTAACCATTATTAGATATTGTTCCCTATTCAAAAGTAGACAGTTGGTGTTAAAATAAGATTGTTATTTAAGTGTAGAGGAATTGTATAGCTAATTCTGTCTTAGCCTAGGTATTTTTGTTAAAAACTTACCTATGAAATTCTTCAAAGGCAAACCATATATATTATATAAATTTATATCTTAGAAAGAGCCAAGTTGCTATAGGGATCATTTACTTTTTTTTCAGTAGTCTCTGCAGTGGAGCTGATCTGTGGCTGTAATTCAAGTACTTCAGATATCTGAGGCAGTCTCTTCATATGTGTCCTTCTCTTCCAGTCCTCACATTTTGAGCTGTATGTATTTTTTTGTAACAGCTTATTGAGATATATGTTACATACCATAGAATTCATCCATTTAAGTGTACATTTCAGTGTTTTGTTTTGTTTTGTTTTTGTGAGTCACAGAATTGTGCGGCTTCACCATAATCAATATTAAAACATTTTCAGTACTCCAAAAAAAACTATCATGCCCAGTAGCAGTCTTCACATTTTCCCTCAGGCCCTCCAATTGTAGGCAACCACTGTTCTATTCTCTAGTGTTTTTGTCTCTATAAATTTGCCTATTCTGACATTTCATGTAATTGGTATCATAAATATGTGGCCTTGTGACTTATTTCTTTCATTTAGTATAATGTTTTTGAGGTTCATCCATGTTGAAGTATGTATCAGTATATTACTCCTTTTTTATTGCCAAATAATAGTCCATTATATGGATATACCACATTTTGTTTATCCATCATTTGATAGATATTTAGGTTTTATTTTTTGGTTAGTAGGAATAATGAACTCTGAGCATTATTGTACTTTTTTGGTGTGAATATGTATTTCATTTCTTTGGGGTATGTCATATAGAAATGGACTAGATAATATAGTAATTCTGTGTTTAGCCTTTGGGGAACTAATAGACTGTTCTCCAGGGTGGTTTCATCATTTTACATTCCCACCAGCAGTGTATGAAAATTCTCATTTCTCATGCCATCATCACTGCTTGTCTTTTTTATTAGAGCCATCCTAGTGAGTGTGAAGTGGCATCTTATTGTGATTTTTATTTAGATTTCCCTTATGACTGATGATGTTGAGCAGCTTTTTCATGTGCTTGTTTATAGATCTTCTTTGGAAAAAATGTCTCTTTAGATCACTTGCCCATTTTTAATTGTTTCATTTGTCTCTTTAATGTTGAGTTGTAAGAATTCCTCATATATCTTATTTGCAGATGTTTTTTCCCATTCTGTAGATTGTCTTTCACTTTCTTGGTAATGTTTTTAAAAGCACTAATTTCTAAAATTTTGATGAAGTCCAATTTACCTATTTTCTCTTTTGTTGTGTATGCTTTTGGTGTCATACCTAAGAAACTATTGCTAAATCCAAGGTTAAAAAGATTACGTCTATGTTTTCTTGTACTAGTTTTATAGTTTTAGCTCTAATATTTAGCTCTGTGATCTGTTTTGGGTTAATTTTTGGGTATGGTATGAGGAAGGATTCAGTTCAACTTCATTCTTTTACATTCTGTGGATATGTATTTTTACATTCTTGTAGATTCTGTGGATATCTAGTCATCTTAGTATTAATGTGTTGAAAAGACTATTCTTTCCCTCATTGAATTGTCTTGGCACCCTTGCTGAAGATCAGCTGTAAATGTGAGGGTGTTATCATTCTGCTAGTACCACACTGTCTTAATTATTTTAGCTTTGTAGTTAGTTTTAAAATTGAGAAGTGTGAATCCTCTGAATTTGTCCTAAGGATTGTTTTGACCATTCTGGGTCACTTGCATTTCCATATAAATTTTAGGTTTAACTTCACAGTTTCTGCAAACGAGGCCAGCTCATATTTTCTTAGAGATTGCATTGAATCTGCAAATAAGTTTGGGAGTATTATCACCCTAACACTTTTAAGGCTATCAATCTGTCAATACAGATGTCTTTCCATTTATTAGGTCTTTTAAAATATTTTTTCATGATGTTTTCAGTGTACGAGTTGTATACTCCTTTTGTTAAATTTCTTCCTATTTCTATTTGATGAAGTAGTAAATGTAATTGCTTTTTAGTTTTATTTCCAGGTTGTACATTGTAAATGTGTAGAAATAAAATTGATTTTTGATCTTGTATCCTGTAACCTTGCTAATAAACTTGTTAGCTCTAATAGGTTGTCATGGGTTTTTTTGGTGTGGATTCCTTAGGATTTTATGTATTTAAAATCACGTCAACCTCAAATAGAGATGGTTTTACTTTTTTTTTTTTTTTAAGACTTATTTATTAGAGAGAGGTAGAGGGAGAGAGAGAAAATCCTCAAGCAGGCTCCCGGCTGAACACAGAGCCTGACGCAGGGCTTGATCCCAGAACCTTGAGTTCATGACCTGAGCCAAAATCAAGAGTTGGCCACCTAACCAACTGAGCCACCCAGGTGCCCTTACTTCTTTCTTTCCAATCTGCATGTTTTCTATCTAATTTTCTTGTGCAATTGCCCTGGCTAAACAATCTAATACAGTGTTTAATAGAAATAGAGAGAACAAACATCCTTGTCTTTTTTCTGGATCATAGGGAGAAGTCATTTAGTCTTTCACTATTAGTTATGATATTAACTGTGGCTCTTTCATTGATACCCTTTATCAGATTGAGGAAGTTAGTTAGATCCCTTCTATTCCTAGTTTGTTGAGTGTTTTCATCATGAAGGAGTGTTGGGAGCTGTATAATTTCTGAGATTTTTCTAACTTTAATCTTTAAAGAAAATGAACGTGTATTGGGGGTTTATTAGTAAGAAGAAGTAGTACCTCTATGTTGAATTTTTTAATTTCGAGGATCAGTTTTTGTTGAAGACCTAATTTGTGGAATAAAAAAGTTTTTCTTACAGTATTTGCTGGACTTTTGTTCTTTATTATAATACCTAAACTTAAACACCATATTGCAATGCGATAATAACATAGAGTTATTGGGTTAATTTTTGGGTATGGTATGAGGAAGGATTATTCAATAGAGTTATTCAATAGAGTATTGAACTTGTCTCGTAATATTTCCTAGCATTTTCCTAATTTTCCACCAACTTCCAAATAGAATGTGCATTTTAACCCATATTTTTTGCCTAAATTCCATTTAGATTTATATTGATTTTTAAATGGCTTGTCATTTGTTTCTGAGTAGCTACTATAGTTTTTCATTTCTTAGATATGAAAAATGGATTTTTTTATTTTGACAGAGTATATAGGGAAAAATTTGGCAGTAATCATTTATTTTTCTTTACTTTGCTATTTTCTTGTATTATGTATATAGTCAGGAAATGTGCATTGTCTGTTTTGGATAATAATCTAGTGTTTTGGCGTATACAGAGATGCTAATAAATGTGATTTGTCTTTTCAAAGAGAATAACTCCCCAAAAGTAAAACAAGCACATAGAAGCTGTAATACAAGTATAAAAATTGTGAGTTCTGTAAGAGAAACAGAAAGTAAATGCCCCTACCATTGCTCAATCTGTAGTATCTCTTTTGATATCTCAACCCACTAGCAGCCACTCTGTGGTAAGCCACAGGAGGTCTCTCTCTTGACATGTGCAGCTAGCCCTGAGCCAAGGACTTGTGGCACCGTCTCATACAGACATCTGGATTCTCCTCCCTTGCCCCCCGTGCCTACTCAGTTTCCTCCTATTTGATACCCTGCCCTGAAGATCCAAGTTCATTTAGCTTCACTGCCCTCAGTCTCTGCCACCTCAGTTTCAAGTTCTAGCTTTCTGTTTGAGAAATTGTCCTGAGGCAGAAGTGAGGGTACATGTGTGAATCTCTTTATCAGTTACTCTCTTCTCATGATCAGTCTTACACTCTCTGTTATCAGTGCCCAAAAGTAGTTATCTCTTTTTTTGGTCAAGTTTATGGTTTTTATGCCCGGAGTCTAGAACTAGTTATTCTATAGTCAAGGATCTTACTTGATCAGTCTTGTCAGAGGTTTTTGTATATTATCATTCTTTCCAGAGGACCAACTTTTGATTTTGTTGTTCCTCTCAATCACACTGTTTTACATTGCTGTGTCTCAGGTCACATGTTTTCATGTATATGCTTTTACTGTCATTCAGTTTAAATTCCTCTTGACTGCACCACTCAGGCGCCCCCGTTTAAATTCCTCTTAACATTACAATTTCTTTGATAAAAAATGTTTAAGAGTGTGTTTTAAAATTTCAGACATTAAAAAAATCTTTTAAACTTTTAAAAACTTTTCTTTAACTGCATTATAGACAGTATATGTGGTCTGTCTGTTACTCTCTGGTGTTTGTTGAAACTTCATTTCTATCCAAGTATTGATG